AACCATTTTTAAAATCAATGTTTATATAACAGATGCAATCAATTTTCAAATGATGTGAAATTTTAAAATATAGAAAAAAGAACAGGTCTTAAATTTCAAGACATAAAAACAGGAGACTATTGGACAGTACAATCAGATATTGCTTTGTTTCTTACTACTTCCTAATTACTGCATGCACCATTTGCGGATTGGATTTCCACTTTAATATAATGCCTAAAAATAACAGAATCTTAACATTTGTATATCTCATTATACTATCTGTAACCAAATATTTTAACTTGCAAAAAACAGCATACATCTTGATATATTGTAATACATTATAACATTATTTATTTATTTATTATTTATTTATTATTTTTATATTTATTTATTATTTTATTATCATTATTTTTGTTATTATTATTATATTTTACATTTATTATTTTATTATCATTATTTTTGTCATTATTAATTATATTTTATATTATCTTCTTATTATTATTATTTTTTTTATTATTATTTTTTGTTTTATTATTTTATTATTTTTTGTTATTATTATTTATATTATTATTTTTGTTATTATTATTTATATTTTATATTTATTATATTATTATCATTATTTTTGTTATTATTTATATTTTATATTTATTATATTATTATCATTATTTTTGTTATTATTTATATTTTATATTTATTATATTTTATATTTATTTATTATTTTATTATTATTATTTATTATATTTTATGTTTATTTATTAATTATTTATATTGTGGTGTGATAGGTAGACTTTGTGTACATGTGAATAAGCTTGGGAGAAACGTTCTGTAAAAAAAATCTATTCATATGCCATAATTTATAATAATATTTTGGAATCATAAGCACCCTTTAAACATGTACATGAAATAAGTTTTGGAGTAAGGATCTTTAAGAAAGGAAACTACTTCTGATACACACCTTAATATATAATAATTTTAATAATATAATGAAAACAAGGGCATACTTTAGTTGTATTCAAGAAATAAGCTTTGAAGTAAAAGTCTGTAAAAAATGAAAATAATTTTGATACACACTAATACATAATAATATTAATCATAGTGAATTTATAGAAAGCAAATCCTATATATATTTTTCAATCAATACAATCAGAAAGTTTGTTTGATAAAAATAATTACAAGGACAAATACCAACAAGATACTTGTGGACTGAGTTGTAAAACTGTCCCCTCCATGTTATTTTTGGACAATTTAGAAAATAACCGATTTCACTACTCCTACAAATTTAGGAAAAAAAGTTGCAAGCCAGTCTAGAATTATTTTATAACCAATGAAAACTTGGGATTCAAAAATTCATAGTCTGTAGATGTCTAGATGAAATAAACTTAATAAATGGGTTTTAAAAAAGATCATACTACTTTTCATACACCCTAATATGTAATAATATGTAATAATATGATGAAGACAGACATACTTTAATTGTATTCATGAAATAAATTTTGTAGTAAAGGTCTGCAAAAAAAAAAAATGAAAATACTTTTGATTCCCTCTAATATACAATAACAATTATATAGTGAAGTCAAAGTCTTCAGATTTTTTTTTTTCATTATTGTTCACATACTACAAGGCCAAAGATCCACTCAAGGTAGAGTTATTGAATGAGGTTGTTTTGTAGACATAAAAGATGGAGGTAAGAAGTGCAAATTATATGTAGAATAGATAATGGTTGAACCTGAACATTAAAAGTTGAAGTTAACATTGTAGTGATCAAGGAAGCATCCTTTCTGGAATCTGTTCCACAAAGTAGCAGTTCCTGGGAATAAGCTGCCTAAATGGAACTTTCTTCTTTTACCAGTGAAATAGAAACAGATTAAGGATGGTTCACCCCCGTGTATATGGCATCACAGGTTTTAACTGTAAAGTTCTGAACTGGTGTAACTAAGGAATGTAGTTCATCAATACACAAAATAAGCTTTGGTATGAAGTTTATAAAAAATGAAAATATTTTTGATACACTTTAATAATAATAATAATAATAATATATAATGCATTCATAGGTTGTATTTAGATGTGTACATGAAGTAAGCTTTAGACTGAAGATCTGTAAAAATCAAAAAGTCTTTTGAAACACTCTTAATTTTCTTAGATAAAGTGTTATTGGGAATCTCACAGAATGGCAGAAATTTCTTATTTCCGTGCTACAGTATATACCTATAAAGGTGCCTCATTTTGAAGTAATGTTTAGCAAGATATTCTAATTATAAATTGTACTTAGTTTGATCCTCACTGTGTGCCTCACACTTGGGAACTTTTGCTGATTTAAGCTAACCTTAGGAGATATAAAAATTTATGCAGCTTATGTGCAGAGGATTCAGTGTACGTTCTAGACAATCATCATTTTTTGGTTTCTTTTATAGAAGAAAAGCGAGACATGTAATTTTATTATCAAATGTCATGATTAAGGGAAAAAAAAACATGGAGAAAATTTAGCTATGCTTTTATCCTGATCTGTAGTTTTTTTCTCAATTAACAGCAACATTGGGACCATCCAAAGAAAACTAGAAAACCTAGCAACATTTTTTTTTTATCAGAGCATAATCATAACATAAAATACACAGATGATACTGTGCTGATAGCGAACTCAGAAGAAAAACTAAAAGAAAGGACAAATCATGAGTTATAAAGAGACAATGTAGAGATTTTCCAAGCATAGCTTAGATGTGGCACAAGGCCGAAAGTATGGGGCACCCAGTGAGGATAGAACTCATTACTCATTCGTAATTGTGCTAGCGAGACAAGCTTGCTAACCATTACACCGCCTCAAGGTGCCTTAAAGAGACAATGTATAGTTGTCAGCAACAGGAACTGCCAAAAGTTTAAGCTTCAAATCCGAGGCATCAAAATCAAGCAGGTATAGAAATTTATTTGAGTCATGTTATTACAAACCACAAAGAAAAAGAAAAAAACGAGATACAGAAATCCAAATTGGAATAGTGAAATAAGTCCTCCAGAATCTATGCAAAATATTAAGAAATTTTTGTTAGAAACAAAGAAAAGTGCACTGAACTGCTATGTAACATTTAATCTCCTATATAGCAGTGAATTCTGAACAATTTTCTCATATATAAAGAAGAAACTTAAAACAACAGATGTGATTTTGCAAATGGCTACTGAGAATACCATAGACTAAGCAATTATCATGAAAATATCTATAGAAATTTTTCATGAATTTTTTTTTTACCATTTCACCCCAAGCAAAGAAATAAAGCCACTAAGACAAAAGGGATTATGGAATGTGAAAGAATATGTGAAAAATAAAAACATTATTAAGGACCAACAACAATAAAAGAACAAGAATTAAGACAGAAGATAACAATTGATATTGCATTTAAATTTTTGAAGATCTAACAATATCACTATTTTATCTTATCACATTAAATATTGGAAACAAGATATCAAGTGACTATTTGAAATTTGTCTCAAACTTCATCTAGTGTCAGGGAACAAAAACCAAAGTCAATTATTGCTTATGGCCTCAAATAATAAACATTCACAGAATCATTTCAACTTGAGAGGAATATGTTTTCTGTAACCTCAGACATATTTGATTCTTGTCTGTTGGGGCAGAGATTGTTTTTGTTTGATTTTAATGAAGCAATTATATTTCAACCAGAAACTACTTTACTTAATAGCTCAAGGGTTATAATTTATAAAAGAAAAAAAATATATTGAAATATTAGAGCAATTTTATACAAAAGGTATATATAGACAAATCACATTAAGCATTGAAAACAAGATATCAAGCGACTATTTGAAATTTGTCTCAAACTTCATCTAGTGTCAGGGAACAAAAAACAAAGTCAATTATTCCTTATGGCCTCAAATAATAATAGGCACATTCTCGGAACCATTTCAACTTGAGAAATATGTTTTCTGCAACCTCAGACATATTTGATTGCTGTAAGTTGGGGCTGAGATTTTTTTTTCTTTTGTTGGGTTTTAATCAAGCAATTATATTTCAACCAGAAACTACTTCAGTTAATAGCTTAAAGGTTATAATTTATCAAAAAAAAAAATATATATATTATTGAAATATTAGAGCAACTTAATACAAAAGGCATACATATATAAAAAAAAATAACTGTACGTATGTTTATATATATATATATATATGTGTGTGTGTGTGTGTGTGTAGATATCAGAAAATAGTAACTTGATTTTATAACGGAAGAAAAATATGTGACCTGAAAATATAATAATGAATAATAAGTAGCAAATTAAAATAAAGAGAAAAACACAAAATTTTATTTATTTTATCTGATGCATCTATTGGAAAATTTCTTCTCATCATTTCTATGAAAATTATTCCTAAACAAAAATGAGAATGGGAATTTTTTCCCTCCCAGTTAAAAAATAAACGTACAAGAATGATGCAGGTAAAATGATCAGCTTCCTGTACCACTCCAGTAAGTACCTGACTCCTCATACTATCGTCTAGGTTTAAAAGAGCCAGATCAGGTTGAAATGGGCTGCCCAGTCATCACTTTTCTAGTCTTTATCAAGAGTTCAAAAGCATCTCAGAGTCCTTGTTGAAGAAGAATTATTTTCCACCTTCTAACCTCTCTCTTCACAGGCAAGATGTAGCAAGTCTCTCACTGCTCTATCACTACTACCATAGAAAGTACTCAGACAAACTACATTCCTTTGTTCCACCAGGTATAATAGTCATATAGAAATAAAGTGTCACTGCTGACATTTGGGTTTGAACATGTATCTTCACATTAACTCCCTTATCCCTTCCAATATAAATAAGATTATCAATAATCTCAAGCCTCTGCTCTTCTCTCACCTTTTGCTTGTGTCTTCTCATTCTACCCTTTATCCCTTCCAATATAAATTATTTATTATCTCATATCTCAGCTCTTCTCTCACAACATGCCTGTATCTTCACTTTCTCTCCCTTATCCATTTCAATATTAATATGATTATCTATTATTTCATACCATGACTCTTCTCCCACTGTTAGCATGTATCTTCTCATTCTTTCCTTTATCCCTTCCAATATAAATAAGATTATCATGTAAATGCGTTATATTCTGTGCTAATAGGAATATGAAATGGACAAACATGGTGGATAAATAGTAACAGATTTATTTTAGAAACCCATACAACAAGCAAGGAAGTAATAGTTATGTGCATGGTCATAATTCAGTACAGTTGTGTGCGGGCTGCTATCGGAAGGCCGCTAGTTCTCGCAGATACCAGCTTGACTCTTCCGTCCACTGCCACTGTCCTAACAGATACTTATAGGTGGTTACCCCTATAGTGCAGCCACTCATGGGGGTGGCAGATTATTCCATTACATCAAAATGTTATACAAGCAAAAAAAAATTCCTCTATTTTTTCTTCTTTTACTGTCTCTTCATCAAGAATGCACACATTCCAGTTTTATCTGAGACCATTTTGTTTAGACCTACATGAAGTATATACAGATATCTTTTATTTAATTTTTTTCTTTGCACTTTCTCTCATCCAACTCATGAGGGTCTTGAGACCTGTCAATCCAGAAACACTTCCACGTAAAAATACCAGCAATACATTTTTATTGCAAAATGGCAATCAATACAACACTAAAAAGGTATAAAAATACATTTTTATAGTAAAATTACCAGTACTATATTTTTATTAAAAAAATTCCCAACAATACATTTTATCATCTGCAAACTATAAATCTCAAACAAATGTTTGGTCTGAAAGTATATGATGTACAATATATTTTGTTGAAGTCATAAAATTGTGTCAAAAATATATGAAGCTGAAGCCGTAAAATTACATACAAAACATTTAGATTTTGGCATTAAATAAGCCAGAGTGGTTGAGATTCTGCTAAACAAGATCAGCCAACCAACCAATTGGCATCAAACTCACAACTCTCTCTCAATATCTTAACACAGAAGCCACAATCTTCAGCACAATGAGCTGAATCAGTTGTCTTGTATAGAAGTGAATGCTAGACAATTACTATTGAAAAGAAGACTGGAGGTAACAGAAATGTGGTTCTACAGAAGGATACTGAGAATTCCATGGACTGAGCAATGAAGGACTATTAAAGAAAAATGAAACAAAAAGGACACTTATATCCAGAATCAGAAAGACTCAGATTTCTTGGACATATAAGGAAGAAATAGGGCTTAGTGAATTTGACACTCACAGAGCATATCAGTGTCAAGAGTGATAGAGGAAGGTAGCAAGTAAGTATGTGTGAATGGAGAGCAAAAGAGAAGGTGGGAGATTTGGCAAAGGGACAAATGTTGCCAAGGGCTACGAAGGATAGGAGGTTGTGGAGGGTGTCTGTATATGTTCCTTATTTCTTATATAAGGAAACAAATTGCATTACTTTTTGACTGACCTGACTTGAAATTGTCATATCAAAATAAATGAACACGTTGGGTATCTCAAAAGTGGAGATTGATTTTTATTATCTCCCTTGATTTTTATTATCTCCCTTGATTTTAGTGTTTGTTCGTTTGTTAGGTTTACCTTTTTTATTCTATTTTTTCCTTTACTTATTTTCTTTGTGTATGCAAACACAGACAAACTACCAGGAAGAATGTTCTATGGGAACACCAGAAAACAAAGAAGTATGAGGATTCCATAGTGACATTATAAATGAACATAAAAAAATACCTGACATGCATTAAATTTTAAAAAATAAAATTTAAAAATAAAATTTAAAAATAAGATTTAAAAAATTTAAATAAAATAACTACAACAAAAGTTTGTGGGTTATTTTTTTCTGTTATTAAATTTAATTCCACACATATTTTTTTCCCTTCCCAGTCCTCTTTTGCCTACATTTTCCTTATTTCCGCTATTTACCCCCACCCCTACAATCTACACACCTTTTAAATCAAAAGTTGTTTTCTTTTTAGTGTCTTTATTGCTTTCCCTTCTGGTTTTATTCTGTTTACGTCATATTTGCTTTGTTTTCTTGATATTCCCTATTTCACCAGCCCTATTTTTTTTTTCCTCTTCCTGCCTGCGCACCTTTTCTTCCACATGTGAGCACAGATTTTCATTCCTTCACCCACTCAGCCTCATGTTTTCTGCGCTAATTGATGTGCTTGTGTTTCATGACTGCTCAGCATTTGCAGCGAGTTTACAATGACAAGTGTGCAGTCTCCGCCTTTGTCCTTTTCTCCAACTGATCTTCGTTTCCCAACTAGAACGGCAGTGTTTCATAGCAATACAGAAACGTGCCACCACAGTTTGCTTCTTTTTATTCCATCAGTGTGTCAGTCTTCTATTCCTTCGACCCTTATACCTGTTTGTGCTTTTTTATTTTACTTTTTTCGTTTCCCATTCCTCTTCCTTCAGATGAAAAATAATTATTTCTTTGCTTTCAAATCTTTGTTTCTTTTTTTCATGTTTTTCTTATTTATTTTCTTCTTTGTTTCTCATTTATTTGCTTCTTTTATTTCATTGGCACATCATTTTTCTCTCCCTTATTCTTTTATTTTATTCATCTCTGTCCTTTTTCTTTTTTATTCAATCCTTTCACTAATCTGTTCTTCTCATGAGATTGTCTAGCATTTATTTATTCTTTCCAATATTTAACCTTTTCTTTCACCTCTCATCTTTTTCTGTCTTCACCTGTTCTCTGTACTGTTTCTTTTTCTTTCTTTGCCCCTCTTATTCCTTATTTTCTCCTACTATATATTCCAAATTTTGTTGTTCTTCCATCTGCTTTTTTTACCATTCTTTTTCTTTTGGCCCTTCTGTATTTCTTTTGGCCATTCCTTTCTTTTTTAACTTTCTTTTCATTTCTTTCTTTTATCCACTTCTCTCTTTTTTTTCTTCCTTTCTCTTTATTTCTTTTTGCTTTTCTTTCATTCTTTTTCTCTTTTGTTATTTCAATCTTTCTTTCTTTCTTCCTACTTCTGCTTCTTTCTTCTGAACTTCCCGCCTTTCATTCTATTTACCCAAGAATCTTTTCTTTGTCAATTTCTCTCTTGTTTTTTCAGGATTCCAGCATTTCTTTGGAAAAAAAAAATATCAGGATGCTACTCTGAAGGATTCTCTTCTTTGAAATATTCTTTCTTTGCTTTTCTACTTCTTTTTTTTTTTTCCCCTATTTTTCTATTCTTTTCTTTTTCTTGGGTCCTTCTTTCTTTCATTCTTGGCTTTGCCATTTCTCTTTTTTTTTTATATTTGCTTTCTTCCTTCCTTATCTTTCCCTTTATTTATTTTGTCCTTTTTTTTTTTTTCATTTTCTAACTTTTCTTCTTTCTTTCTTCCCATTTCTTCTTTTTTCTTTTACCCTCCACCTTTCATTCTATTTACCCACCAATCTTTTCTTCATAAATACATACTTGAACCTGTCTATTTCTTGAGGATTCCTGCATTTCTTTGAAAATAAAAATCAGGTTGCTATTCTGAAGGATTCTTCTTCGGTTTGTTTTTCTCTTAATTCTTGCCATTTTTCTTATTGTTCTACATTATACATTTTTGGCTTGGCTTATTATCATTGCTCTTTATGATAAGTCTTCTAGGTTGCCTCGTCCATGACTATTAAACTGTTGTTCAGCCTTTCATTCTATTTATCTATTTAACCAAATGCATTCATCATTTTGTCCTTTCCTCTTTCTTTCATTTACTTACCCACCCACCCTTCACTTTTTTCTTCATTTCTATTTCCTCTTTCTTTCTTCAATTATTTTCAGTTCTTCCTTTTTATATTTTCATTCTTTGCTTTGTTTCCCCCCCGTTCTTTCTTAACTGCATCACTTTCTCTCTTTTATTTTTTCCTTCTTTCCTTAAAATCTTCCAATCCTTATTGCACACACTTCCCCCACCATCTTTTTTGTTTTTCTTTTTTTTTTTTTTTAGTTCTTCAGTTATTTTTCACACCTTCTTTCCTCCTCTCTCTCCAACCCCACTTCACTTCTTTTTTTCTTCAACCATCAATAGCAGCACCAACCATTATCATCACTCCATTCATTGCAGGTCGAGGCAAATTTTAGACAGAATTTACTAGTCATCAGCAGGAGTATATTTAGTCATTATTCCTTGCAGTTCTTTAACCAAATTCCCTTGTTACATTATCAATTCATTTGGATTAAATAGAAGCTGAGAATTCACATGATATACAGCTTTTAAAAGATTTACATTAACAAAACACAATTGAAGTGACAAAAAATAATGTGCACATCATAGAAGAAATTTTTTTTTTATATTAATTACATTATTTTCACCAAGATTATTATCTTTATATTTATTGATATCACAATGTTTCGATTAGTGCACTCAACAGTCTTTACCACATGCTTGTCAATCTTGATAATCTGAAAATTTTGAACTAAACATTTTATTTAATGTAGAGGGATTTTTTTCATTCGACTGCAATTGTCTGGTGATATTTAGGACCATATATGTATGTAGAGTGAGAGAGAGTCCTATAGCCTCAGTTGGCAATCAGTCTAGGTGAAAGAAAACACTGAATTCAGAATCTTCAACTATGGGTAAATAGTAAGGCAGACTAGCCTCTTCAGTCTTAGGTGGCAATCATTCTAGGAGAAGGAAAACTCAGAATTAACAAAAAAATATGTAGCCTTAATGAAGCACATACAATACATCTAATGAAAGGATCACGGCGTTTACAAGAACTATGATACTGACTGCAGTGTGACAGCAGTTGACTAAAAAAATATTACATAATCACATACATGTTTATATACATATATATATATATATAAAATCACATATACATAAATAATCACATACATATATATATATATATATATATATATAAAAATCACATATACATACATAATCACATACATATTCATATATATATATATATAAAATCACATATATATACATAATCACATACATATTCATATATATATATAAAATCACATATACATACATAATCACATACATATTCATATATATATATATAAAATAACATATACATACATAATCACATACATATTCATATATATATATATATAAAATCACATATACATACATAATCACATACATATTCATATATATATATATAAAATCACATATACATAATCACATACATATTCATATATATATATATAAAATCATATACATATATATCACATACATATTCATATATATATATAAAATCACATATACATACATAATCACATATATATATATATATATATATATATATATAAAATCACATATACATACATAATCACATACATATTCATATATAAAATCACATATACATACATAATCACATACATATTCATATATATATATAAAATCACATATACATACATAATCATACATATATATATATATATAAAAATCACATACATATTCATATATATATAAAATCACATATACATACATAATCACATACATATTCATATATATATATATATATAAAATCACATATACATACATAATCACATACATATTCATATATATATATAAAATAACATATACATACATAATCACATACATATTCATATATATATATATATATAATAACATATACATACATAATCACATACATATTCATATATATATATATAAAATCACATATACATACATAATCACATACATATTCATATATATATATATATATAAAATCACATATACATACATAATCACATACATATTCATATTCATATATATATATATAAAATCACATATACATACATAATCACATACATATTCATATATATATATATAAAATCACATATACATACATAATCACATACATATTCATATATATATATAAAATCACATATACATACATAATCACATACATATTCATATATATATATAAAATCACATATACATACATAATCACATACATATTCATATATATAAAATCACATATACATACATAATCACATACATATTCATATATATATATATAAAATCACATATACATAATCACATACATATTCATATATATATATATAAAATCACATATACAAACATAATCACATACATATTCATATATATATATATATATATATATATATATAAAATCATATATACATACATAATCACATACATATTCATATATATATGTATATATATATAAAAAAATATTCATATATATATATAAAATCACACATGCATACATATATAAAATCACACATACATAATCGCATACATATACATGTGATTATATATATATATATATAAAATCGCATACATATACATGTGATTATATATATATATATATATATATATATATATATATATATACACACATACACACACAGCTGGATTATGACCTTCTGAGGCATCTAGGCTCATGAAATTATGGGGCACCCCTGAAATTGACACCCCCACTAACTTGTCAGCATTGGTCTTTAAATATGTTTTTACTTGTGATATCTTTTAGTCACATTGGCATAGTGTGAAGTAAACTATTTCAAATTCTTTAAATAAACTAGAATTTAGTTTTTTTGATAAAAATCTTCTTGAAGAAATACCACTATTTTACTGTTCATTTCAATCCAAATTAGCACATACTTCAACAGAACCATAGTAATAATAAAAAACAGATTTTTTATAACCAGCATTATAAGCAAGTTTGTGGGGCCCTAGGCTGCAGTCTATGGGATAATCTGGCCTTGAATGTATATGGATATATACATTATAGATAACACCATATAAATTTATTTTATATGGGTATATAATAATATGTGGAGGCATGGTAGAGTAATGGATAACGGATTGGACTGAGAAATTGGAGAGCAGAGTTCAAATTCCAATTACATTCACTTACATGCTACCCTTGTAAAAGGTATGAATCTTCTTCTCCCCTCCAGCTATGGGTAAATAGAAGGACAGACTGAGTTCTATAGCCTTGGATGGCAACTGGTCTATCACAGAAAGAAATGGCAACTTACTGCAGGAAAAAATATCTGCCTCATCAGTTATGAATCAAAAGATACATGATCACCTAAGCATGTATCACGCATGGCACATAACTGACTGCTATAACAACATATATATGCAACATACATACATACATACATACATACATACATTATATATCCTATGTGCTGCACCAGGAAATTTTTCTCGCCGCAGTCGATCCTTCAAATCTACAAATCAACCATTCGCCCTTGCATGATCTGGAGCCTCTTGTTTGTCTCAAGGTCCTTGATAAAATCCAGAGATGGATATGCAATGTAATTGGCCCTGATCTGGCATCTTGTCTGCAGTTGCTCTCTCACAGACGTGACATCGCCTCCCTCTGTCTTTTTTACAAATACTTTCATGATAACTGCTCTGATGAGCTGCTTTCGCTGGTTCCCAGACTTCATGAATTTAAGCGTTCAACTAGGCTGGCATCTCGCTCTCACCCTTTCACTGTCAAACTGTTAAATGTAGTCGTCTCTTTTACTCCAATAGCTTCATGTCTCCCCTTTTCTTGTTTCCCTGATAGCAATAATCTCCAACTATTCAAATGTAATGTCAATCGACGTATCCAGAGGCCTTGATCTATCCCCTATCCTTCTCTTCATCATTTCCTCTATAACTCCTATTTGCTCTCACTCCAACTCTCTGTAACCCCTTGCATGCTAGTGGCTTCCCACCTTGCTTGGGGTGAAATGCTTAAAAAAAAAAAAAAAAATAAAAAAATATATATATATATATATATATATATATATATATATATAATTATAACTCGAACAGCAATCTATTATTGCCCTGTGAGTGTCAAATTACCTAAGCCCTCTTTCCTCATTATGTGTCTTAAAAATTTCAACTATCTCTTTATGATTCTAAGTATAAATGCCCTTTTACTTTTCACAATACTTTCTTGTTTCTCACAGGTTCAGTTCATCGCATTTTCAGCATCCTTCTGAAAGACCATGTTTCTCTTGCTTCAAATCTCCTCTTCATCTGTGGTGAGATTGTCAAGTATTCTCTCATACATATGGGGATTGATATTACATAACAGCCCAATTCCCTTTTCTTTGTTTGTAATGATTTTTTTTATTTTTTATTAACTTTTGATTGGAATCTTTTGCTCTGGATTTCAGTGTTGCATTTTCTGTCCTCTTTTAAAACACTTACTAGATATTTAAATTCATGTATTCCTTGATTTCGGTGTCTCCAAATCGTAGCTCACATCTTGTTTATTTTGCAGACAACCATACATTCTGTTTTCTTACAATTGATGTTTAGTCCTTTCTTCTTGCTTTCCTTTACTCCCTTCTGTGTGTCTATGTTAGTACACATGTATTTTGGAATAAAACTCTCAGCAAATGAGGTCGAATAAAAAATAAATATATAGAAGATTCCATTTCTTTTGTGGTTTTCTCAATGAATTCTTTCTGTGTGTGTGTGTGTGTGTTTTAAAAATAGCAAGACATATGAAGAAAAGCAGACATTTATAAACAATCACCGAGTCTACTTTCAACTAGATACTTGCTTGCCAGGCTTACACAATCACGCGCTGAAGAGAATAGCACTCTCTCCTTTTCCACTACGTCAAAGCATCTTCAGTTGTGAACTCTAGCCTCCATGTTGCATGTGCAGCCAAGTCAAAAAGGATGAACCTAACCAGAAGCAGGTGAAAGAAGGGGAGAAAGGAAAGAAGGGAAAAAAAATGGTGGTGGGGAAAGAAAGGGAAGGTAAAGGAGTGGGAGGAAAAAAAATGAAAGATCAGTGAAACAGGTGCAAAAAGAAAAAATCTAAAAAGAAAAAGGAAGAGGAAGAAGATAAAGAAAGAGGAAAATGGAAGAAGAAAAATAGAATAAAAAGAAAAAAGAAAAGAGAAAGAAGAAAAAGAAAAAAACAAGAGAAAAGGAAAAGAAAAGAAAAAGGAAGAAGATAAAGGAAGAGGAAAATGGAAGAAGAAAAATAGAATAAAAAGAAAAAGGAAAGAGAGAAGGAAAGAAATGAGAAAGAGAAAGAAGGAAAGAAAAGAAAGAAAAAACAAGGAAAAGAAAAAGAAAAGAAAAAGGAAGAGGAAAAAGAAAAAGATCAAAAAATAGAATAAAAAGAAAAAAGGAAAGA